GTCTCGGCCGATCCAGATCCCAAGTCATCGTCTCTGAGGGGGGGGAGGTGTCTCTGCTGACGTTGGGGGGCTTCCCCCCGCTCCTTCCACCCCCCCTCTGGCTCACCCCCAAAATGAAATAGGGGCCCTTGCTCCACGCGAGGTGGGCTGGCGCTGAATGGCCCCCCCGCTAAGATGCTGGCCCCCCCCTGAAGCGAAGCGGACTCCAACATCGCCCGGATTGGGGGGGATCCCACCATGGGGGATGCGGAAGAGAGGCTGGTTTGGGGGACAAATGGAGGGGACGGACGTCAGACGCCTCCCGGGCAGCTGGGAGTCTCCCCGGGGGGGGATGAAGATGAGGCAGGGGCAGCCGTTTCAGGAGGAGCGTGTGAGGGCGAGGAACCCAGGACACCCCCAAAAGTGGTAGGAGAGGAGGAGGAGGAAGAGCTGGACCCCAGGATACAGGTGAGGAGTGGGTGCAGGAAAAGTCTTTTTCCTGGTTCCCCCTGGTTTTTTGGGGAGGATGGGGGCATGACAGATTTGGGGGTTGCATTTCTCTTCCCTCACCCCTTGTTTGGCTTCTCCCTTCCCCAGGAGGAGTTGGAGCATCTCAACCAAGCTAATGAGGAGATCAACCGGGTGGAGCTCCAGCTGGATGTGAGCTTTTCCCCCAGTCCCTAACTGGTCCCCTAGTCTTTGTTCCCTGGCCCTTAACCGGTCCCCCAGCTCTTAACCGGTCCCCCAGCCCATGTTCCCCAGCCCTTAACTGGTCCCTCCAACCCTTAACTGGGTCCCCAGTCTTTATCCCCTAGCCCTTCATTTGTCCTCCAGCCCTTCACTGGTCCCCCAGTCTTGTCCCCCAACCCTTGTTCCCAGCCCTCAACTGGTCTCCCTGGTCCTTAACTGGTCTCCCTGGTCCTTAACTGGTCTCCCTGGTCCTTAACTGGTCTCCCTGGTCCTTAACTGGTCACCTTCATGCTGGTCTCTGCTGGGTTTTGGGCTCAGTGGGGTGGTTGGGAAGGAAAAACCTGCTGCTGAGGGGTCTCCCTGGGTGGTGCGATGGAGTATGAGGGCACATGGGGATGAGATGTTCCCTGCTTCTCGCCTCCAGGAAGCCCGCACCGCCTATCGCCGGATCCTCTCCGAATCGGCGAGGAAGCTCAACGCCCAAGGTTCCCAGTTGGGCAACTGCATCGAGAAAGCTCGACCTTACTATGAAGCCCGGCGCCTTGCCAAGGAGGTACCGCTCTCCCCCAGGGGTGCAGAAGGATGGGGGGGGGTGTCTTTTTTTTTTTTTTCCCCCTCCCCAGTGTCGTAACCCCCTCCCCGCTTGCTGTGCAGGCTCAGCAGGAGACGCAGAAAGCGGCGTTGCGGTACGAGCGAGCTGTCAGCATGCACAACGCTGCTCGCGAGATGGTTTTTGTGGCAGAGCAGGGGGTCATGGCCGACAAGAACCGTTTGGATCCCACCTGGCAGGAGATGCTCAACCATGCTACATGCAAAGTACGGGCGGGGGGGGGGGGCTTCATCTTCAGGGAGGGTTGGGGTGGGGCCTGAGAGGAGGTGGCTGGAAGTTGGGGATGATGGGGACAGGGGAGACCCCACTTCTGAAGGGGTTTTGGGGTGTCCTCAGGTCAATGAGGCGGAGGAAGAGCGGCTGCGGAGCGAGCGGGAGCACCAGCGTGTGACCCAGCTGTGTCAGCAAGCTGAGGCCAAGGTCCAAGCCCTCCAGAAGTCCCTCAAGCGTGTCATTGTTAAGAGCAAGCCTTATTTTGAGCTGAAAGCCCAGTTCAACCAGATCCTTGAGGTACTGGGCGGGGGACACATGGCTTTACCACTTGCGGTGGGGCACATCAGGCTGGTGAGGGGCATGGGGATCCCATTTTGGGGAGGATCCTGCTGCTTTTTGCCAGTTTTCAGGATGAGGTGGAGAGGGGGAAGAAAAGGAGGCTGGTGGGGTCTGCCCCTCGTTTTGGGAAGGGACATTGGGATGCTGAGATGGCCGTGGTGGCCAATGCCATCTCCCACAGGAGCACAAGGCCAAGGTGACAGCGCTGGAGCGGTTGGTGTCGCAAGCCAAGACGCGTTATTCGGTGGCCCTGCGTAACCTGGAACAGATCAGCGAACAGATCCACGCTCGCCGTCTCCAACGCCTCATTGTTCGTCGAGCTTCGCCGGTGGGAGCCGAAGCCAGTCCTCAACACGCCGGTACCGAGGTGGGGGTGACAGAAGGGACACATTTGGGGGCCGAGTGCCCCCCAGCCGACACGCTTTCGGTGCTCAGCCTTCAAACCATCGCCTCCGACCTGCAGAAGTTCGACTCGGTCGAACATTTATTGGGCTTGTCGGACGCTACCAGCCTCAACAGCGACGAGCTGGAGGAACGAGAGCAACGCCGGGGTGGGCAGGGTCACTTCAAACATCACCGAAGCATCAGCCTTTAGCCTCCGCCACCCCGAGCCTGCCCCCTCCCGTGGCTTCTCCCCTCCCTGGGGAACCCCAAAAAGACGGAGTGGGGTCGGTGCGTGCCGTCGTCACCTCCCACAGAGGCTGCGGGGGGGAGGATGGAGCTGATGGGGTGATGCTTGGAAGCCCCTTGTTGACAAAGGTGACGCCGTCAGGGGCCAAAATTTGGGGGGCTGTTGGTGTTCACTCCTCTGAATTTGGTGGATGAAGTGTGGGGTGGGCGGTGGGAGCCGTGTCCCGTGGGGCTGTGTGTGCCTGGCATTGGGATACTGAGTTAAGCTGCGTGTTGGGTGTTGACAGCGAGCAGCTGGGTGGGCAAGGCTGCTAACAAAGCTGCTAACGAAGCTGCTCAGTTGTGGCCCCTCCTCAATGCAGGAGCTGCACCCCTAAAACGCTTGAGGGGGGGAATGCCGTACCGGGGATCCTGCCCACCGGGCTGGGGGCAGGGACACACACAACATCCCCTTACCTGTCCCCCCTCCTTTCACTCCAGCTCCGCCTCCCCCCCCCAAATTTCAGTCTCTTATTTGGGGTTATTTTCCCCCTTTTCCAGCAAAAGGTGAGGCAGAAGCCAAATTGCACTAACAGGATGGGGGGGCCCCACAGCTGTTTTGGGGTACTGTGGAGGGGGGGGGCTGTGGCCGTGCCAGGGCTGTGATGAGAACCGCACCAGTTCGAGGCAGCCCCAGGGGTCGGTTGGAGTGTATTTTCTGGCAAGTAAAATATATCTCCCCCCTCCCTCCATGTGGTTTTATTCGCTCGGTTGCACCCCAGGTATCCTAAAAAACACCCCCCGCGATGATATTCCAGCATCTGGGGAACAGCTCGAAGCCTTGAGGGGGGATAACGGCTTTGGGAATGGGATCGTTGCAGCCCTACAGTGGTGATTTTGCTTCCTGAGATTTTAAAAATCCACTACGGGGATGGGGTCAAATCCCTGAAACTTGAAAAACCAAGCCAATAGCCCCAAATATTATAAACATAAATAAAAATCACTATTGTTAGTAGTTACATTAATATTCATGCCCTAAATTTTCCATGTTAACAACTGAAGAAATTACACCTGTTTTTTAAGTATCTTAATTCCCTTCTCATTCCCCAAGGGGTTGATCTGAATCAGTTTAATTTGCCCATTTACTTGATTTTTAAAGAATATGGATTTTCTTCGGACTGGGGGTTGCATTTTGGGGTAACATCAGGCTATTTTGGGGGGTACGAAGTACTGCTGCTCTTCCCCTTGGGTTTTACCTGGCATTTCAGAGCCAGCTTGAAGGATTGGAGGGAAGATAGGAAATTTTGGGGAAATAGGGGAAAATTTGGGGGGGGTTCAACACCTGGATTTTGCTGGGGGGCCAAGGGACTGGGACCCCCTAAATTTGGGGTTCCCTGTGTTTTGTGGCTGGGAAGGGAAGGAGCTGGTGGCACCCAAAGGGACAGAGGGGTCCCATTGCTGGCCTCCCCCTTCCCCCCCCCCAAAAAAATCACAGTGGGGTAGGGTGCTCATCACCCCAAGGGATGTGGGGGTCCCATCCCTGTGCCCCCCACTCCAAAACATGGTGGGGTGGCTGTGGGTGCCAGCTCACAGCACCCTAAGGGATTTAGGGATCCCATCGCTGACACCCTATGAGATGTGGGGGTCCCATTGCTGGCCCCCCCACCCCAAAACAATGGGGTAGGGTGCTCATCACCCCAAGGGACGTGGGGATCCCATTGCTGCCCCCCTACCCCAACACACCAGCATGGGGGGGGGACGGACATCTGGGATGACACTACCGAGCTGACCACATCCTGAAGTTACAAATATATTTTCTCCCTCTATCCACGTACATTTTTGGGGTCAGGCCCCCTTTTTTGGGGGGGGTGATGCTCAAGAGCATCTATGGGGCAATTCCTCCTCCTGCACTTGTTTTTCACCATAAAGTGAGCTCCATCCTAAATCTTTCTCCTCCCTGGGGGGGTTATGGGGTGGCTCATGGAGCCGCTGATGCTTGACCAAGCTCGAACGGACGGTGAACCTCTTCCCGCAAGCCGGACAGGGATACGGTTTCTCTCCCGTATGGATCCGTCGATGCCGACTCAGATTAGAGCTTTGAACGAAACGTTTCCCGCAAGCTGGACACTCGTAGGGTCGTTCTCCCGTGTGGAGCCGTTGATGAATAACAAGGACGGATCGAGCGCTGAATCCTTTCCCGCATTCCCCGCATTTATAAGGTTTTTCTCCCGTATGTAATCCTTGATGTCGTACCAAGCTGGAACTGACCCGAAATCGTTTCCCGCACTCGGTGCACATATAGGGGGTCTCGCCGGCATGGGATCGCCTATGGATAAGGAGATCCGAGCTTTGTACGAAGCTTTTCCCACATTCCGGACATTTATAGGGTTTTTCTCCCGTATGCCGACCTTGATGTCGGATAAGATGGGATCGTTCATTAAAGGATTTCCCGCAAAACGAGCAGGAAAAGGGTTTTTCTCCGGTGTGGGTTCGATGATGCTGGATGAGATCCGAACTTTGCCCGAAACTTTTCCCACATTCGGGACATTTATAGGGTTTTTCTCCGGTATGGATACGTTGATGACGGAAAAGATTGGAGCGAGCACTGAAACATTTCCCGCATTCAGAACAAATATAGGGAATATCATCTGGGCGGCTCTGGGAATGCAGGATACGATCAGCCTTCAAGCTTTTCCCATAAGGAATTTCCACTCCGTGCAGGCGTTGATGACGGAGGAGGTTGGATCGACGGCTGAAGCATTTCTGGCATTCGGGACAACGATGGGGTTTTTCCCCCGTATGGGTTTTTTGATGGGAATTCAGGTGGGAATTCCAGGTAAAAGTTTTCCCGCATTTTGGACAGGGATAAGGACGTTCTCCGGAGTGGATGCGTTGGTGGCGGAGGAGGTAGGCGCTGTGGTTGAAACTCTTCCCGCATTCAGTGCATAAAAATCTCCTCTTATCCTTTGGGATTGGGTCCTCCAGGGTGTCGAACCCCTTTCCAGGGAGAAAGGGATGAGCCGAATCCGTTCCCGGGGGATTTTCCTGATAGTTCGGTGTGGTTGTGCTTATCCCAGCGCTGGCTTGTCCCTCGCCTGCAGGGAAATTTGGGATGAGGGCAGGGAGGGATGGGAGGATTTGGGAAGGTAGGGAGGGAGATGGCGAGGGATGGGGAGATTGGGGGGGGGGCAGCAAGGGATCCCCGATGCTTGAGTGGGGCACCATGGGAAGGGGGAATTGAATAGGTTTTGCGGGATGGAGCGGGGGATGGCACATGGACCCGCTCACCTGGTGAGGCCGATGCGTCGTGGTTCTCCTGCATGGTTGGTGAAATCCCGTCCTCCTCCAGCCCCCGAAACAGCAAACGCCTCCGTTGGTCCCTGCGATTCCCAAAACCCACCAACCCGGAGGGATCCAGGGATGAGCAGGAAGATGCGAGGTTCCTTGGCGGGGGGCGGTCCCTGTTCAGATCCTGGAGGGATAAATGCAGTTGCGTGTTAGCTGGGTGTGATGGTTAAAAAAGCAAAGCATCCTCCTGGAAGAGCTTAGGAACCCTTTCACCGGTTCCTAAAGCAATCTGGGAGAGGAACGGGAGGGAAATGCCAAGACTGGGATCTACCAGGATGGGGTGGAACATCCCTGAGACCAGGAAAAGGATCCCCAGGATCGGGTAGAACATCCCCGGGACCGGGAAAAGCATCCCCAGGATCGGGTAGAACATCCCTGGGAATGGGAAAAAGCATCCCCGGGACAGGGCAGAACATCCCCAGGACTGGGAAGAGCATCCCCAGGACCGGGCAGAACATCCCTGGGACCGGGAAAAGGATCCCCAGGACCGAGCCGAGCATCCCCGGATCCCCCCGGGGCATCCCCCCGGGGCATCCCCCCGGGACCAGGCGGAGCATCCCAGGAGCCCCCCCCGTTCTTCCCCCGGTACCTGCCGGCTCCGACCTTCCTCCTCCTCTTCCTCCGAGCTGGGGCAGCCCTTTCCTGTGTCCTTCCACACCGACCCGGCCTGCAACAGGCACCGGGAACCGCGGGGGGGGAGATCCAGGCATCCGGCTGCCTCCCCCGAGCATCCCCGGGGCGCTGGACCGGGAAGCCGTATGGGTTTTGGGTTTTTTTGGAGGGCGGTGTTGGGGGGTGTCTCCCTATTTTTCTATGGAAATACCCAATTTCCTACGGGAATCAGGCAGATTATTTTGTACCATCGTTAAAAAAAGGGCCAAAACGGGTGGGGGGGGGGGGGGGGGTGGGGGGGGGCTCCCCAAAGTCTGGGGGTGAAGGTGGTCCCCAAAGTTTGGGGGGACACCCCCCCCCCAAGAAGAAACCCTTGAGCTTCACCAAGTCCTGATGGCAGAAAAAGGTGGGAAATTATGAAGCTCCTTTTAATTTTTTCCCCTTTTTTCCTTTGAAATCTGGGCACAAATCAGAAAAAAAAACCCCAAACCATGAAATTTTGCTTAAACCTTAAAAAAAAAAAAGCTTATTTTTTGGGCACTGTCCTCCTGCAAGGAGTTAGACACGATGATCCTTATGGGTCCCTTCCAACCTGAGTTATTCCATGATGGAAGAAGGTTGGAAGAGGCTTCCTGGAGCTCGTCCATCCTTGGAGATACTCAAGGACATGGACGTGGGTCTAGAAGACCTCACTTGAGCTAGATGGTTGGAGTGGATCATCTCCGGGTCTTGGCTCCAAACCTTCATCCATTGGGGACGTGCAGGGGCTTGGTGGGACACTGGGATCCCACACCAGCATGTCTGTCCTTGCAGGTGATGGGACCATGGATGGTGAGGAGGGCAGAGATGGTGAGAGGATGGAGACACACCGAAGAGAAGCCAGGATGGGACAACGTGGGGCTGGGAAATGGGTGGAGAAGGGGATGAGGGGTGGTGGGATGGGGGACCGAATGTGGCCAGTTGGTCCCGTTGCTGGAGATGACATCTGCGGGGAGGGTGGGAGAAGTTTTCCCTGTGGACCATCCCTGGCCACCCACGGGCAAGTCCACACCAGTGAGAAGCCCTATAATTGTCCTGAGTGTGGGAAGAGCTTTGGGCGCAGCTCCCACCTCATCGCCCACCAGCGTACCCACACCCACGAGCAACCCTACAGTTGTCCCGACTGCAGGAAGAGCTTCAACCAAAGGTCCAACCTCCTCATCCACCAGCGGGTCCACACGGGAGAGAGACCCTATGGATGTCCTGAGTGTGGGAAGAGCTTCAGCTATAGGTCTGTCCTCCTGATCCACCAGAAGACCCACACTGGGGACAAGCCTTACACTTGCACCGACTGCAGGAAGATCTTCAGCCACAGCTCGGACCTGACCAAGCACCACCGGATCCACACTGGAGAGAGACCCTACAGTTGTGCCGAGTGTGGGAAGACCTTCAGCCTCCATTCCCACCTCCTCTCCCATCAGAGGACCCACAAGGGCGAGAAGCCCTATGCTTGCCCCGAGTGCGGGAAGAGCTTCAACGATAGCTCCAACCTGATAACCCACCAACGTATCCACACTGGGGAGAAGCCCTACAGATGCCCCGAGTGTGAGAAGGGTTTTGGACGCCTCTCGCATCTCTACCGGCACCAGAGGACCCACACGGGGGAGAAGCCCTTCACCTGCTTGAGCTGCGGGAAGAGCTTCAGTGAGAGCTCGTCCCTCATCCGTCACCAGCGGGTCCTTACATAAGCCTGTTTTGGGGTGGGAAGAGGAGCTCCAGCTTTCCCACCAAGGATGGGGAAAGCAGGTGACACCTTTTCTGGCTTGATGGTGGTGGGTGTCAGGTAGCAGCACCCCACAGATCACCCCAAAATTGGGCAGGGAGAAGGAGCTCAGTGGGGTTTTGGGGCTGGTGCTCAACCCCAAGATGTGTGTGTGGCAAGTCTGATATATTCCTTATGGTGTTTCCACCAAAAAAGCCTGGAGACCCACCAGGATAGGTGGGAGAAATAAAGTCCAGGTGGGTCTTCCAGGCTCTCTAAGCCTTTGGGGCCATCAAGTCCTCAAAGTCCTGAGTGATGACCATCAAGGTGAGGTGTCCCCAAGTCCTGGGTGGTGTTGGCAGGCACATGGGGCAAGATCCCCCAGTTTTGGAGCTGTTGGGAGGACCTGGCTGCAGACCCCAGGGGTGCAAGGGCCCACTCCACATGCATGAAGGACCGGCATGATGTGTGCTAGAGCTCTACGTCTTCTCCTGGGGCAGGGGATGGTAATTCCCTTGGCAAGAGGGTCTCCACAGCCTTCATGAGAGGGTGCATCTCAGCTGTATGGGGTGGTCCACATGTTATAAGGACTGGTGGTCTCTATCCATGAGATGAGTTGCGACACAGAAGATCCCAAAGCAGGGGGAATCATGTCACAGTTCCTTGCAGGGAGGGTTTGGTGGAACCAAAACCTTGACGGAGCCAACACCTTGACAGAGGCAAACTTTTCTCCGTGGTGCCAGATGAGGCAGGGATGGAGGCGATGCTTCAGGAGCAGTGTGGATGTCCTGTTCATATGGATGTTGGGTTGTTTGGAGAGTCCGTAGTTGTATCTGACTTTCTGGAGCTGTAAGGAACAAAGGGACCGGCTCGTCCTGGTGTCATGTGGAGAAACCCAAGATAGGAGAAACATCCGCAGCTGCTCCCGGGCAAGAGTTCTCCCCCCCCCGGCACAGCTTCACCTCGCTGGCTATTTTAGGCATTCGGTGGAGTGGTCGCATTTGCCCTTCAGGGAGCAAACCATGTGAAACCTTTGGGTTCGGGAGGACATTGCAGGCAAATCTTTGGCATGCCAGAAATGCCTTTGCAGCTCTCGCTCCCACGGAGGGGACAGAACACAGCCACTTTACCATTTTACCATTCTCTATGGCCATTTTCTTGCCAGGTTTTCACACTTGTCTGCTTATACCCATCAGATTTTTCAGATCTTTTTTCATCTTAATGAAAAAAATAAGGGTTTTTTTCCATGTATTGACTATTCATTCAAAGAAGCAGCACTGCCTTTTGCTCACCAAAGACCTGCTTTCATGCTCTGCTGTACAGGAAGCCTCTTGTGGTTTAATGTTGCTCCCCCATACTCCTCTTCATCCTCTTTTTTCCCAGATTAAGACTTCAGATTTATTCAGGTTTTTTCCATTTTTATAACTATCCCATAGCATGGCCACCACAATTACGTTTAAATATTCTTTTTATGCATTTATTAAGACAGTTATTCATTAAAACCTTTCCCAAATAGAAGTACGAATATATACATATTCTACGCAGGCCCCTTCCCCTCCCCAACCCTGGCAGCAATTTAATTAAGACAACAGAAATTTAATATCCATCTAAAAATAAAGACCCCACCCTGTTCCCCTCCTGGCACCGTGCCCCCTGCAGATGTTTCCTCAGAACCTTCTGCTCCAGCGGAGCCAAGTCCAGGAGGGCTTGGGGGAGGTCCCTGGGTTGGACCCCAAAATAGGGTTGTGCCCAGGGGGGTGTCTCTGCCCCATGGCAGAGCTGTGGGGTGGTGACAGGGCTGGCACTGGCTCCTTGTCCCTGGGGTGGGCACAGGGATAGTGGCTGAGGAAGCAGCGTGCCCCAGAGTTGGGGGGCTGACACTTGACTCGGGGTGCTCTGCCTTCCCCCAATCCATGGGGTGGGAGGGGGTCTGCTCTTCCTCCCCGATTAAGTCCCCCGAGGTGCTGGCGCTGCCTGCATCTCCCCGGGAAGTGGCCAAGACCCTTGGAGATGTGGTGAACCTCTTTAAGGTGTGCTGAATCCCTTGGAAATGTGCTGAACCCCTTTGGAGATGTTCTGAACCCCTTTGAGATGTGCTGCACCCCTTCAAGGTATGCTGAACCCTTTGGAGACATGCTGAGCTTGTGCTGAACCCCTTCAAGACATGCTGAACCCCTTCAGGACATGCTGAGCTCCTTTGAGATGCGCTGTACCCCTTTGGAAACATCCTGAACCCCTTTGGAAATGTGCTGAACCCCTTCAAGGCATGCTGAACCCCATTGGAGACATCCTGAAACCCTTCAAGACATGCTGGACCCCTTTGGAGGTGTCCTGAACCCCTTCGAGATGAGCTGAACCCCTTGGAGATGTGCCTAACCCTTTCAAGACATGCTAAGCTTCTTCAAGACATGCTGAACTCCATTGGAGACATCCTGAACCCCTTGGAGATGTGCTGCAGAGCCACCCTAAAAACCATTTTGGAGGCTGAAGGTACTAATGGTCATTAACAACCCCGATCATCCCCACCTGGGAACCCCACCACCCTCTGCCCACGGCGCAGGGGCTCTGTTTAAGCCCAGCCCTGGGAATTTTGGTCCTTCTGCAGGACTTCTTGGAGTAGCATCCACACATGGCCGTGGACCCTGCTGATCTGCCCCATGGGCTTGCTCCTCGCTTGGGTGGGTGAGATGTGGCCATGACTGGCGGTGACCCTTGGAGCCTTCAAGGAGTTTAATTTAATTTCTTCACCTGGGGGTTCAACGGCAGATGTTTGGAGCAGCCCTAGGGACATGCTGAGACCCAACCCTCCCCCATGGTCCAAGTGGAGTGGCCTTTTGGGGTTAAAAAGGTGGTTTTGGTGCCACCATGTTCTTGGCTGTCCACAACTGAAGGATTCAGCTGGTGAAGGCTCAACACTTTCCTCCATCCTGACACATTTTTACTGGATTCATGGGAATCTTGCACTGGAAAATGCACGTTTTTAACTGCAGGATGAGTTGCAACTAGGCTTCAAATGGGGCAACCCAACTGGAAAGCCAACCAAAGGGAAAAAGGGGAAAAAAAATCCTTGGAAAATTGGATCTGGATGTGGTTTGAAGCCCTTGAAAGCAAATGGAAGAGGAACAACCACTTTTCAGCACACCAAGGGAAAGGACTGCAGCACCGCCAGGGTAGCTAGGCTCTAATTTATTACTACTCATGGAAAGAAAGCGACTCCAAAAAAAAAAAAAAAAAAAAAAAAAAAAGACGCAAGCTGCGGTGACGAGGCGAGGCAGTCCCCAAAAGCAGACATGGAGGGGACCGTTGACAAGCAGCACAGCGACACGTCCACGCCGGTTTCGGAAGCACGGACAACACCAGAAAATATATAAATTTCACTTAAATTGCAGTTCAGTGTGGGTTTTTTCCCCAAAAATATCCTCTCTGAAGCCCTCCATGATCTTTTTGGGGTGAATTTTGTCCCTTGTGGCTTCATTTAGGATCCTGCGCCCCATGGCATGGTCACTGTGTCCTCCTAAAATAATTCAATTATTTGAACCCCGGGGGAAGTTCTTGACTTCATCCCCGTCCCTCCTCTTCCTCCCGCTTCCCCGCTTTCCATTTGCAAGGTCCTGGGCTCTGTGGGGTGATGGGGAGGGGGTTTCTTTGTCGTCCCCCCCCTTGGTGACCCCATCCACAGAGCCCAGCATTGGAGAGGTGACCAAGCCACCAAGCCACATCATCTCACCATGCCCTTGATTTTGGGCTAATTTGGCCCAAATTGGCCGGAGAGCCCCAAGGCAGGGCAGCATCTGCATGGGAGCATGTAATTAGTGCACTCATTAATGCATAATTAGTGCATTGCTGGGGTGATTTGGAGGTGGGTGTCAAAAGCCATCCCCAACAGCAGCTCCTGTTGACCACCGGCCAAAACTGAGGCAAGAACATGAGATTTTGGGGCTCCTTCAAACAAGTTTCTTCCCCCAAAGTGGAGCTGGTGCTGCCTTCAAGGCAGCCCCTTGGAGGGGATTGGGGACCCAAACCCAGTGGGGGTATCCGAAGGGTCCCCCTGCGACGCAAAGAGAGAATTAACATCCTTGGTGACATCATGGTTGTGCCATCAGTGACATCCCAGTTGTGCCACCGGTGACATCCTGGTTGTGCCAGCTGTCATGTCCTGGTTCTACCATCAGTGGCATCATGGTTGTGCCATCGGTGACACCCCGGTTTTGCAGCAGGGTTGGCCGGGGAGCCAGGCAGGTCCCCAAAACACGTCGCACGGAGCTGGGGACAATCCTCAGGGGCTGTTTAATCGGGCAAGGGGATGGTGCAGCTCCATGTCCCACGGCCGCATCCCGCATCCCACTGTGCCTCCTCTTCCTCCGTCCATCGCACCTCTGAGCTTCACAACCCTCGAGCAAACACCGAGAGCCTATTCCTTCCACTCCGGGCATTTTATTTTTTTTTTTAAATTCTTATTTTTTTCTGCATCCAATGGTCTGGCAGCAATTCCCGGTGCTGCCACATCCGACGCCGGCTCGGCTCCCGCTTCCTGCGGCGCTGCCTGCAATCGCTGCCTGACACAGGCTCCGGTACTTCTTTAGGATGGTTGGTTTTATCCCTTTCTCTATTTTTATTGCCAATTTTTTTTCTATTCCATATGTCCTTTGCTTTCTTTTCCTCCTCTTCTTTTTCATTTTCTATAATTTTTTTCCATATTTTGATATTTTTCCTCTTTTTTTTTGCACCTACATTACTACCTGTTCCTCTTGCCAATATTTTAAACTTCTTTATTTTTTTCAATAAACACAACGAGTCCTTCCCATAGCACCTCCACACTTCTTGAATTGTTCTGTTTTCAGTTGAAACCTTCCCAATTCCAGAGATTTCAGCAATTCCTTACTTTTCCGAAAGTCTTATTTCAGCTTTTTATCCTCTTTCAGGGAAAAAAAGTCATTCTCAGCCTTAATTAT